GAGCTGGAGAAGCCATCAAGGGTCCCCTGGTCCAGCCTCCCACTTGTGTCCTTCTCAGTGGCCTCAGCTGAATTGCATTCAGTTTGTGCAGCTGGAAGGGATGATTCTAAGGTCACTGCTCTGAGAGTGAAATCACATTTAATTCCAGCAGATGAAGATAGTTTAAAGAAGTTTTCCTAAGAGAAAAATGGTAACTGCTCTGGGCAAGTCTTTGTTGCTTCTCTTCCCTACTATTTTAAAATGGGGTAGTGCGGCCTCCAGAGTCCAAGAGAACCTCAAGAAGAAGCTTGTATGGTGCTTGTGTTTTACTTCTGAGTCGTGGGTCCTGGCTGTCTCCAAAGTGTGCAGAATAAAGTCTCTCTCTAACTTTCCTGCTCCCCAGCCTCTCCCTACTTTTAAGGAGTCCAGCAAAGGCCCTTCTGTCCTGCCTGGGAGGCTGGGGAACCAACTACAAAGGCCCTTTAAGGGAGGAAGAAGGGGCAGGAGCCCCGCAGATGTGAGGTTACAGTGTGTCAGCCAGGCCCCTGGGAGCTGCTTACTGCAGAGGCCATTTGTGGGTTCTGGAAAAGAAACACCCTGCTGTGATTATGAGTAACTCTAACCCCTTCCCAGCGCCTCTTGGGCTCAGCGTCTGTTCTCCTGTGCTGTTGGGAGGTTTGATATGATTGAACTCCTGGCCAGTCCTGTATACAACTAGAGGCCTTGTCGAGCTTGATTTGTAACTGCTTTTCATTTCTACACCTATCAGATACAGGTATATTAGTCTCTAAGCCTGAATTTCAGCATCCACAGTAACTAATTTTATAGTGCTTTACAATTTATAAAATCCATGGAGATACACGATCTCCACCGAGTCACACAGCCTGCTCAGAGGGTCTGAGTATTCTAGGGGCTCCATGCTCAGATGCCACCTCTTCTCACTGTAGCTTTTCCTTGGGCAATGTCTGTTTCTTCAATTACCATCTATATTATCATGGGCCTGTAATTTATATCTTTAACCTGGGTCTCTCTGCAAGACCTGATTATCCAGTTGCCAGCTTGTCTCCACTGGGCTTTCTCAAAGGTTCTTCAACAAAATATGTTAAAGAAATTATAGTGCTTCTCTCCCCGGGCTCCACCCCAAGCCTGCAGCAACATTGCCTCCTCCGGCAGGCCGGGCACGGAAGGGCTAACCTTCCCCTAAACCCTCATCCAGCCTGTCACTCAGCTGCCTGTGGACCTTTCCTCCCGGCTGTCTTGTTTCTGTCTACTTTTTTCATCTCATTGGTGGCCTCATAGCACAAAGTTATCCCCTTCTTTTACCTGGATTACTGCAAGAACTATATTAACAACTCTCATATATGTCATCCTCTTTCCTTCTTGTCATCCCAGTTTGCATTTTATTTTTTTAAAAAAATATTTATTTATGCATAAGAGAGCTGGAATGTAGGCCAGAGGTACAGGGGAGGGGGTGAGAGGATTCACCAGAGAAAGAGTGGGGAGCAGAACAGGCTGAATGTCTGAAATGCACTGCTGAGAGGAGCAGCAGGTGAGCCAGGAGAGGTCTGCTGCACCATGTGGGTCACCTCCCTGGCTGCAGTGGCTGGGGATAGTGTCTTTAACCCCTGTGAAACCAGGCAGGTCTCCCCAATTTGCATTTTCAAAGTGCAAATCTGATTAGGTCACTGTCATTCTTTAAACTCCTCAAAGAAAAAAAAAATTAAAAAACAAACTTCTCAATGGCTTTATATAGCTGACCTCTGTATAACTCTTTCTGGCAATTAGTGCTCCAGCCATAAGAACCCCATTTTAAGTTTCCAAAATATACTTCTGTCACAGGTCCTTTGCACATGTCATCCCCACTGTCTGGAACATCTTCTTTTCCTCTCCCCTTTGCCTAGTTAACTGCTACTTATCCTTTATTTTTTTTTTTTAAAGATTTATTTATTTATTTATACAAGCACTGGGTACAGTCAGAAACGCGGGAGGGTGAGGGAATTCTCCAGAGCCAGAGCGGGGAGCAGAGCAGGCAGAAGGGCCGAAGTACACTGCTGAGGGGAGCAGCGGGCGGCAGGAGAGGTCTGCGCGCCATGTGGGACCCTCCTCGGGTGGCCGGGGAGCAGCTGGGGATCGAACCAGTGCTGCAGAGGCTGCGGGCAGCTTCGCAACCCAGTGATCAACCGCTGCGCCACCGGGGAGGCCCTACTTATCCTTTAGATTGAGCTCTAGCCCGTGAAAACTCCCTGCTCTTAGAGACTGGATTCCTTTATTTCAGAGTGATTATAGCAATTTATATTTATGCTCATTATTTTGATTGATAGACACATCTAGCTTAAGTTCCAGTAGAAGAGCGGTTTGCTTGTATCACCAATGTACCCCAGAATCTAGCACTCCAGAAATATTTGTTCAATGAAGTAGGTAGGACAAATCCTTTCATGCATACACTTTTTTTTTTTTTTTAGCACAAGAAGATTGATTTTTGGAAAAGGCATATGCTTGGCATTTTTTTTTTTTAATACAGATATTTCTGCCTCTGATCAGTTTCCTTTTCTATCATTTCTCCTCCCCAGCCGATTCCAGCTTTGCTCCAGCAGAGTCACAGTGAACCATCAGTACCTCATAAAATGTTTCGAGGTTGCTTGAAGTCTTATGAAACTGGGTTAATTAGCTATTGGAGAATCTGGATGGGAAAGTGATCATTTAAAAGTGCTGTGTGGATAATTGATCAAACAGTGAAAGTAGATCTGTATTGTATTTGGAAAGCGGATTTGTAAGACTGTGTCACCCCTCTGACTGTGTCACCCCTCTTGCTGTTCTCATTCATGGGACCAAGAACACCCCCCCCCCCAGTCCTTTCCTGTTCCTGCTAGTGCCAGGTTTAGTGACGTCTACATCCTAGTGGTGTGCCAGATGAGCCCTGTGCTATTACTTTTTTTAAAGAAGATTTATTTATTTATGCATACAAGAGCTGGGGTACAGGCCAGAGGTGCAGGGGGTGAGAGGATTCACCAGAGACAGTGGGGAAAAGAACAGGCAGACTGACTGAAACTCACTGCTGAGGGGAGCAGCGGGTGAGTCAGGAGAGGTCTGCTGCGCCATGTGGGTTGGTCCCTGGCCGGCCGGGGATTGAACTCGTGCTGCAGAGGCTTCGGATTGCTTTATAGTGCAGTGCTTAACCACTTGCGCCTTCAGGGAGGCCCCAACTTTTCTTGACTGTGGCATCTCCTGTGACCTTTTTGCTGCTGACTCCCTCAGTCTTTGGAACAGAGTACACTTAACTGTGTTTTCTGCTAACTCCTGAGGGCCACGTAGGTCTACAACGTCATCAGAGAGACTGGGCACCTGTGGGCCAGTAAGAACTCTGCTGTGGGCCTCCCCGGTGGCGCAGCGGTTGAGTGCTGGGTTGTGAGGCTGCCTGCAGCCTCTGCACCGCAGGTTCGATCCCCGGCCACCGGGCGAGGGTCCCACATGGCGTGCAGACCTCTCCGACCGCCCACTGTGTATCAGCGGTGTATCATCAGTCTGCCTGTTCTGTTCCCCACTCTGGCTCTGGTGAATTCTCTCACCCTCCTGCGCTTCTGACTGTACCCAGTGCTTGTTTAAATAAATAAATAAATCTTTAAAAAAAAAAAAAAAAGAAAAAAGAACTCTGCTGTGCATCCTTCGCTGCAGGACTAAACCAGTTGGTCACATTTCCAGCACACACCCACTGTGAAGTGATGGTTTCAGGGAATAGCCAGCGCTCCCTCCCGAAGACCCAACACGTCTGCACAAGGCAGACATGGGAATAGGGTTCCCGATGACTAGTCCATCACAAGTTGAAGAATCTCAAACCATTTAATCCTTCATATTGTCCTATTCAATTTTCTGGTGTGCGCTGAGTGTCTGTGTGTGTGTACATGTGCATTTTCTCATATGTAAATATTTTTGTAGAGACCCTGGAGCCTCTATGCCTGTGGAGGCATTTAGGGACATTCTCCAAGTCAAATGATGTTGTTGGGGTGTACCTATGAGAATATGCTGGCATGAGCCACAGTCCATAGTGTGCTTATTGATGAATATTACAGATACTTTGCTGTGTAGCTCCCGGAGGTGGCAATGGAATTCAAAATTCTTGTTTCATTGTTTTCCTTTTTCTTATTGAGAAAAATGTATTGTTGTTTATCACAAAAAGATTACGCTATGACAAGCTAGAAAGTACAAAAGATATTTCTTAAAACTCATTATTTCTTAAGAAAATAAATAATTAAAAGATTAGAAGAAAAGCATTTTATTTTATTTATTTATGCGTACAAGAACTGGGGTGTAGGCCAGAGCTGTGGGGGATAAGAGGATTCACCAGAGACAGAGTGGGGAGCAGAACAGGCAGATCCACTGAAATATACTGCTGAGGGGAGCAGCAGGCGAGACAGGAGAGGTCTGCTGCGCCATGTGGGTAGCTCCCTGGCCAGGGATCAGGGATCGAACTCATAGGGGATGGAACTTGGGCTGCAGTAGCTGCAGATAGCTTCATAGTGCTGAGACTTAACCCTTGTGCCACCAGGAAGGCCCAATAAAAGATTACTTTTTTAAACCAAAACAAACAAACAAAAAAAACAAATTTCTGTTAACTTCTTTCGCATCAGCATTCAGAAAGTTTTCTATAAGTATTTCTGGGATAGTTTTCACATAGCTTGTATCATAACCTTTTATGATCCATGACGGATTTTTTTCTTAATACATATCGATCACTTTTCAAGGCCTATGCATTTTGTATATGTGTGGTATTTAAGTAATACCTGATTGTTAGAATTTTAGGTTATTTCCTTTTTAAAAATAGGTTGACTTACTTTTTAATTAATAATTTTAGAAGAGTAACAGAAGCAGAATAGACATTCTGAGTTTTTCGGTGACTGTTCAGAGAAGTTCATAATTAAGGGGAGAAGAACATGGCAAAATATGTTTTTTTCTTTTTCTTCTTCTTTTCTTTTACTTTTTTTAAATTTTATTTTCTTCCATGGCACCCTACCCCTCCCCCAACCCCACCTCCCCCACATTCACAATACAGACCAGACAAGGGCCCTGGGCTGGGGAGTATATGGGTTTACTTTGCCTCCCTTTTCTATATAGTCCATATAAAAACAGCCTGTGGTGAGCGCCAGAAGGCCAAGTAAAGATGGTTAGTAACGGGGAAGGAGAGCCCTGGATGCCTGATCGCAGAGTTAGGCTGTGAGTCCTGCATGCCCTCAGCTCACTTCACAGCTGCAGATACTCGGGTGAGTTCTGGAATGTGCTGTGAAGCAACCTGGATATCTTCCGAAACTCCTCAAACATGTGTAACTCAAATTCTGGGAATAAGTGGGCCTCTTTAGGCTCTGTGTAGACTTGATTATTCTCTTCCAGATGCATGTGTCTCTCAGGAGCCCTGCTAACTTAATTCAGGGACTAGCTTCCCACTGATGGATGTTGGAAGCAGGCCATACTGGAGGCTTTCTAAGAAAGACAGATATTTTGAAGCACCTCACACGAAGGCACAGTTACAGGCGGGGTGTTGAGGTGGACGTGCAGGCAAAACGTGCTTCTGTAAGCGGGGAGATGACTGGAGGAGACTCTGTTCTGAAAACAAGGCACATGCTGTTGGTTCCAGACATTCTTTCTTGCTGGACGGTACAAAGTCGTGTTTAAAGGCTGCTGGCCCCACGCCCACACTCCAGCCCCATGGAATGTTCTCCGTCTGGGCCCCACTCCCAGCCATCAAGGCAGTTTCTTTGGGGGTGTGTGGGGGGGGGGTGGCAGGGAGAAGCCAGCTCTCCAGTCCTTGGCCTCAGCTTTTTCTGCCAAAAGAAGGAACCTGTTTTGACCTCGGGCTCCCCACCTAGTCCCCCTCCCCACTACATGAGCTGTCCTGCTCACAGAAAAAGGCCTGTTTTTCTTCTTACAGTTGCTGTTTCTTTGCTGCAAGTACTTGACGGTGAGTCTAATGTTAAGAAACAGTTTGTAAGAGCCGTGGACAGGGAGGTGGCCCCTGGTCCCCTTTTACAGACTTGATGTGGGGATGGGTTCCTTTCTGTGTTTTGGCACATCCCCTCTGTCTGACAACACTTCTTTGTGTTTTATAAGACAGGAAGAAAGAAGAAAGGTCTAGTGGCCTCCCTGGTGGCACAAGGGGTTAACCACTATCAGCACTATGATCCGCAGCTACTGCAGCATGAGTTCTATCCCCGGCCAGCGAGCTGACCCACATGGCGCAGCAGATCTCTCCTGTCTGACCCATTGCTCCCCTCACCAGTGTATTTTAATCTGCCACTACTGCTCCTCACTCTGTCTCTGGTGAATCCCCTCAACCCCACACCTCTGGCCCGTACCCTGGTTCTTATAGGCATAAATAAATAAATCTGTAAAAAAAAGAGAAAGGAAAAGAAAGGTCTAAAACAAAACAGTACGTCCTTTGGGATTCCATTTGGGCAACTGAGACAGAGGTCTTGTTAGTTTGTCCTTTTTCATCAGTGACAACCACAGCTGTAGTTGCTACCACTTTTGTGAATTATCTCCTTTAACTCTTATAATGAATCCCTTGAGTCAGTTACTATATATGAGCCCATTTTTCAGATGAGGAAACTGAGGTTTGAAGAGGTTAAGTAACTTGTCGTGCTCATCAGTGATAGACGGTATCCCAGGCAGACCTAAAACCAAAGCTGCTTGGCCTTTAATCCCCACACGCTAAAGCCATCAAGCTAAGTAGAAGGAATTTATTGGGTAAGTGCAAATATCCTGAGGCTTAGGAAAGTGTTTGCTTCCTAGGTAGGGGCTCATTTGCAATTTTTTCCCCTAAATGATTTTATTTTGAAAATTTTAGTACTGAGAAAAGTTTTAAAAATAGTATAATGAAGACCTAGACCCTTCAACTAAATTCACCAATTGTTAATACTTTACTGTTTTAGATCATCTCTCTCTCTCTCTCTCTCTCTCTGTGTGTGTGTGTGTGTGTGTGTGTGTTTTGAAAGTCAGTTGAGACCTAACAAATAGCTTAGCAGGTATCTTTGAAGAATAAGCTGGATGAAAATCATATCACTCAAAAAATATCTACCATCCATCTGCACTTCTAATATGCCCATATTTCAGTTACCCCTATTGTCCCCCCAAATGTCTCTTCTGGCAGTATTTCTTTTTGATGAAAGATCAAACATTGCTTTTATGATTTGTAAGTTGAATATCATGCACATTCTCTTCCCAGGCTACGGATAGTTTGCTTTGGCTTCACTCAGAAGATCAGGGATCTTGCTCAGTTTCAGGTTTTCCTGTCTGTCCTGACTAAGCAGCCTCACCGTGTCCTTATTTGACTCATGTGGTTTTACTGGGCTCTAATCTTGTCTGTTCTGCTTCTTTCTTAATTGTTCTTTTCCTTCCTTTCTTTTTTTGCCTCTCTCATTTTCCTCTTTCCCCCTTCCTCTCCATTCCTCTTCATTCCCAATCCCCTATAGTAGAGGTAAGACTTATTCTTTTGCTCCAATGACTTTATGCTTCAGGGTGGACATTGTGGCAGGTGGTGTGGCAGGCATGATGTGCCTGATTAATTCATTTATAGATGGGACAGAGGCCAGGGGGTGGTGCTGAGGGGGGTGGGCTGGAGAGCTGACCTAGTCATGGACATTGTTAGACAGCTTGATTTGCACAAGGCTAAGGGGGTGTGAGAGCAGCCAGAGAAGAGTCAACACTGAGGATGGAGAAAGGGGGTGGGTGGAGATGGGGTAGAAATCGCACTTTGGAAAGGGCCACTGACTTTAAAGCCACCGGACTGATGGAATTAGCAAGTCCCTATGAGCTAGCTGTAAGATCTTAGGGAAATTATTTAACTCTATGTCTCCTCTTCTTCACCCACAAATGGGAAGAGTCACACTTGCTGTGGCGTGTTGTGTGGAAGATCAGGGGTAATGCCTGTTAAAGTGAAGACCCTGGCACACAGTCGGTTCTCAATGAATAGTAGTTGTTAGGAATTTGCTTGGCGTCCCAGCAAATGGATGGAAGGCTATCAGAACAGGTGACACGTGAAGTTCAAGCAGGTGGCCAACACCATGAGGCTGATGTCAGTGGGAGAAAGTCCTTCTGGACAGGACGCAGTGCAGGCAGCCCTCCTGTTCTGGGAGAGAAACTTGTCAGGCAGGTTCCAGCGAGCTGGAGCAGTTAGAAGCCAGGGGGTTAAGATTTGGAAGAGAATCCAAGTGCCAGATCCAAACTGTCCTGTTTGGTTCAAGTGAATGGCAAGGGTGACTTGTTGCTTGAGTCATCGGGGCATCTCTTGTTTTGGATTAGAATTAAGAAGGACCTAGGGGGCCAACGGTGTAGGGGTTAAAGTCTCAGCGCTATCAAGCTATTGCCAGCCACCTGCAATAGGAGATTCTTGGCCAGGGAGCTGACCCCCCTCTCCTGTCTCATCTGCTGTTCCCCTCAGCAGTGTATGTCAGCAGTGGATCTGCTCCCCACTCTGTCTCTGGTGAATCCTCTCACCTCCCGCACCTCTGGCCTACACCCCGGTTCTTGTACGCATAAATAATAAAATAAAATATTTTTTAAAAAGAAGGAACTAGGGTTGGGGGGCTGCAACTCAATTTTTAGTTTGCCTGGCAAACAAAGATCATTCACTTTACCCCTGCTGTTGGTGTGATGGCATTACTAAATTAAAGAGTTTTTTTTTTTCTCTTGCTGGACACTTGGCCTGAATTTAGTGAAATTGGTACTAGGTAGATGAGGATACCTTGGTTAAAAGTTCGGAGCCCAAACTGTTGGGCATCTAGAGTCATTCCCATCTGTCTTCTTAGGCTCCAGTTGCACAAAGAAAATGCCAAAGTCTGGGTGGTTTAAACGACAAAACTCGAGAGTCAGGGGAGTGCCAGGAAGGAGCATTATGGTCTCCTATCAGGGCAGCACTTCCTTCGTGAGGGCTCTACCCTCTTAACCTCATCTTAACCCAAATTGCCTCCCAAGGGCCCCATATCCAAATACCATCACATTGGGCTTTAGGCTTCAACATGGATTTTGGGGGTATACAAATATTCTATCCATAGCACCCTTCTTCCAGGGCCCCATCCCCAGACACTTGAGAATCTGCATGTGGTGAGTGATGTTATCTTGAGGGGTGTGCTGCTCCTGTGTTTTACATGAAAGCAGAAAAATGATTCAGAATCACAGTTCTTGCGGCTTATCAACAGAAAGCCTTTGCAAGGGAGTGCTGATGAACTCTCATGTACTTTCTTCTCCAATTTTTCAAATAACTTCCTTATTTTTCACTCTAGTGGGATGAAACTAATGCAAAATGTTTTTGCTTGTTCTTTGTAAATTCGCCAGCCTAAGTTCTCTATAGCCAAAAGCATTCTCCTCCTTTTCTGTGAAAGATTGGCTTGTTCCAAGCTTTCCCTCTTCTGAGCCATGACTAGAATCAACATATACTTCTTAAATATTCATGCTCAACATCAAGGATAAAGCCATTTCTTTCATCTGGGAACCAGTGCATAAATGTGTTTCTTTTTTTTTTATTGAAGAAATTTTCTTTTTATCTGCTTTCTGAAGAAGTGTTAAATTGCAATTTAAGGTTTTTTTATTTCACATTTACTTATATATTTTTCTTTTGTTTATTTCTCCATGCATTTTTTTTTTTTTTTGGTGGGGTCTGGGTTTATTTGCAATCTAAGCTTTTTAGGACAGTTTTTAAAGGGTATTTAAGCAAGATACGGAATCAAAATAACATGTAATCTGTTGTACACATTATAAAGTAATACACATTAGGATATAATTTAAGAAGCTGCAACTTGCCCTAGGTTTTCACTTTCTAGAAGAATTTCAGGACTGTTCATATTACACCTCCTTCCTCTGGTCCATGTCTTCTTCGGGTCTCTTGCCTTGGTTGCCCAGTGTGCCTTCTCACCCCAGCTTCCTAAGTCCTTCATCTCATCAGTGAACATCAAGTCTCCTCCTTAAAGAGCATTCCTTCTCAACACATGCTCATGTGCCTGTGGACCAGCAGCAGCATCTGAGACCTGGTTAGGAATATTTCTGGGCTGCATTCCCTGACCTACTGAACAACAGACTCTCAAGAGTGAGACCCAGCCTTCTGTGCTTTAATAGACCCTCCAGGTGATTCTGGTGGATGCTTGTAAAATACTGAATTTTTTTT